TACGTTTTTTCTCCGAAAGATTTCATAAGAAAATTATAACTCAAAGTATATATTTAAATTAAACATTAGTAAGTGGAAATCGACTGAGAAATGTTTGGATGATTTTCTTAGTTTATTAAAGTATTCTATTCTGAAATGTTCTTAGCTTAGATTTAACTTTTTTCAGTTTATTATGATAGAAATGCGAAGAGAATGTAATCTTTCTTTATTACAATAATTTTTGTACACTTTTTTACGTGCAGGAAAATGCGCAGTATTTTATATAGCTGTACAAACTAATAGTCAAACTAAATCAGAGATATACAAATATAAATTGGATATATGTCCAAGACATAAGAATTATCTTTTATGTAAATTAAAAGCTTATCTTTTATGTAAATTAAAAGAACATTAATATCGTAATTACGATATTCGATTATAAGAATGAAAATTTTATCGAATATAATATTTAACTTGTACACGTTGCTCGTCATGTTACGTATATATTATACAAATATACATACGTATTGTATAAAATAAAATGTCAAAATCTACAGTAATATTCTTTAATATCTTTTCTAAATTATTAAATTGCATTCGATTGCATCTTTTCCACTTTGTATTTTTATATATTCTTTTATACTTTTATATCGTTTATAATCTTGTACTTTTTATTCTCTTTGTCTACTCAATCTGTGAATTGCTTCATTTTAAATAATAAAAATATAAGAAAATACAAAAAAAAGTTAAGTCCAACAAATCTTTTTAATTTTTTAAATGACAAACATTATTATGATAGTTGAACATGTCGAAAACAAGATATCTTGAATTTATTGCTAAATTTTTTCGTTTTATTTTAAAAGATACCTGAAGAGAATCGTTAAAAACACGTCATATGCAAGCGAGAGAAAGGAAAGACGCTTGCCTTTCTAAATTTTGACAAATAGAAACAATTAAATTATAAAAATTATTTTTATGATAAAGATTATAAAATTTATCCTCACAAAGTTTATTAAGATGCTTACATTAAAATCAATCTTCGCTGAATCTTTCTCGAAAGTATAAGTATTTTAATCAATTTTGGGTAAAGATAAATTTTGACAATCCTCTGATTGGATATACAGTTGCAGAAAATTTATTACCTGCTGATGGAGTCCATTGATTGACCATTGAATATAGATATTAACGCGAACAAAATCGGAATTTGTTAAATAAACATAATTTTTATCGAACTCACAAAATACTTTATTTTATTGTTTCTATCACCGCAATTCATCGAGACTTCCAAACCCGCAATTTCCAAACTCTATTAGCGATTAGCTGGGCATCGCAGTTTTTGAGCAACTATAAAAACTTATCTGACATCAGGTCGTGATAATGAGCGGAACGGAAGTTTCAGTTAAAAGTATGTCATCGTAATGTGTGAAAGACGATAATATTAGTTGCGTCAATGAAAGTGATTATGTTTGTTGAGAACTTAATTGGTCATATCAACGAACGTCATTATCATCTCCGTGTGAATGTTAATGCGAGATAAATCGTTCACGATTCTTAATATATGAAAAGAAATAACGTCGGCAAAATCGTAAATCGATTTATTATAATTCAGAGATAACGATAAAAATAAGAGCAAATAACAGCATTTGTTTCTGAGAAGCGTAAAAATAAATTGTTGCAAGAAGAAACGGAGTCTGATGCAAGCCTCTGCCGGATATTTATCTTTTTCTTTTTAACCATGACTCGTATAATGTCGCTAAAATGTTCACGACTACAATTGGACATTCTTTAAATATTTTTGATGAAAATATAAAAAAGACCAAAGAGATTGCGATATATTAATATCTGATTGTACCAAATATAAATTAACTTTAATTTCGGTTCAACTCATTCTTCATCTTTTTCTAACTTTTAGAATTAGAAAAAAAAAGATTCGAAATTGAAATTAATCTACATTAGCGGAAACAAGCATAAATATATTTCATGTGTTATAACACATTTTTATTGTTTGACTATTCCCTTTCGTAAATAATATCCGAAACATATGATGCCCTTTTGATTTTATATGATTCGTTATATAATATTTAAAGACCATTCTACATTGTTAGATATCAAAGAAGCAATGGTAATCGAATTTCTCAAGTTAAATAACATTTTGTTATATTTATCTTCTATGTGTGTCAATCATTGATTTACATTTAGTAAATAATAAACTAAATTTAAGTCAAATTTAATACATTTTCTCTTGAGTTTAATTGTTTAATTCCATTGTTTCAGTCAAATAAATGATATAATGGATAGGAGCAATTTATAGAAATGATTAAAAATAATTCTAATTAGATATAATTTGACATTATAATCATATTATTCGAATTTTATAATATATAACGTGTACATTTGTAATGAACAAAATATATCTAAGAACTCCAAAAAAAAAATAATTTAATTTAATTTAAATTGTTTAATTTAAATTCAATAATTCGAATATAAAACATCTAATGAACATTTGTTATATTAGATAGTCTGAGAAGTTTATTAACCCTAATTGGTGTTCGCCGGTCCGATAAATCCAAACATTTTTTTCAAATACGTTGTGAAAAATTATTGATAACAAATTTCTGATAAATATTATAACAAATGTTACACTATTCATTATAAATTTGTTCAACAAATGTTTTTCGTAACTTTATATAATTTTAAGTTATACGATTTTATTCTTCGGATTTTGATTTTCAAAATGAAAAAAAAAATATTCAGTCACATAACTAAGCAAACATTAATTTAAAGTACTAGGACCCGTAAAGAAATTTCGGAGTGAATATCAATTGAGATTAAAATTATATCCTGTAAGACAGGTTCCAGGAAGATTTTAAGAGATAATATCGCCAAGTGTACGGTCCTGGAAGTAGTATAGTCGTGTAGTCGAAAGCGTTCCAACCGCGCATGTGAACGAGGAGCCGCGCGGGCGCGTCTCGCCTCGATCCTCTCGGATCTTTTTTTCCCCGGTCGACGTCGTTGATCCGGACGCAATATCCTCGTTCGTCGTTGGCCTAGCCTATCATTTTATTGTACGCACGCGTCCAAAACTACACGCCGCGACTTTAAACGTGAGCAAGGCGCATGAGTTTACATGTGCGGGCTTTGACTGTTGCGATTTTCGTTTCGCTGTACATTGCATTGACCCGACCGGTGGTGTCTGCCGCCGACGCACATTGCAGCAAACGTTTCCGGCTTTCGTGGGCACGTAAACTTCGGCACGTGTGCATGCCGTAGGTGCGTACGTGCGTATTATAGTACAACGCGACGCACGCGCGACAGAACCGACCGACGGCGACATCAACGACGAGGTGATGTTGAGAAGTCGCGTCGGATCAAGTGCGTCGTGCGTGAAGCGCATCTTCACCGATACCAGAGTCTCTCTCTCGAGGATAAATTTCTTCGCACAACCGACCGACCAAGGTATCTGGACCACCCCGCGTAACAATCGATACCGCGTCGTTCAATTTTCGTGACCTTATCGAGAAATTCAGCACGCCTAAGGTTATTAGCCGTATCTTTTTAAGAGCACATGCACTCTTTTTAAGGTCGTAAAACTTCTAGTCATTAGTTAAAATATTACATTTATAAAATTATATTAATAAGAATTGTTACTAATAATTGTGTTCAGAAATTTTATTTTATTAAATATTTACATTTAACATATAAAAAATTACATCCCTTTCTTCTGCTTTCAGATTATTGTCTTTTTTTTAAAAAGTGTACACATGACTCTTTCTTGTGATTCAGATATGGTAACCCTAAGCATGCCAAAAATATCGAGTCGCTCAGGGCTCTTTCTTGGATTTATCGCTCTGCAGTCTACACGCATATCCGTGTCTCCGATTTCATGCAGATATATGTTTAATTTCGCTAAACACATCGTGCATTAATTGAAGACCTTATTGCAACAATGGACTAACCTACAACGTAGCCAAATTTAATTTCTTGTAATATTCTTCATTTACGACCTGTAATTTGTAAACTCTTGTGTCAAAATATAAGACTTTTCATAGCAATATGTAAATAAATGTATTTTTCTATCACATTAATTTCGGAATTTATTTTCTCCATTTTTACAAAATACGGGTTTTCGTTCATTATTGTCGTAAGATCTTCAATTATTATAGGAGAAGATAAATTTTCAAAAAATGTCTTTTAATTATGCTCTTAATTATTAGAATATCATATAATGTGTAACTTTTTTCATATCCATTTATAATATAATGTGCAGAAGTTGAATCCAAGATTTTAATAAATCACTATACGAATTTAACATCATATTCGAAATTTTAAAAAGCAGAGAATATATCCAAAATTATTTAGCTTTAATATATCATTTTAATCAAGAAAATAAGTCGGATCAAAGTTTCCTGTCGTGATTATTTAAAGACTAATAGAGCAAAATATGTCTCTTCGTCTAAATCCAGAATTAGAATAAAAGCTTGCTTCATAATAATGTGTAAATAAAATTCATATTTCTGTAAAATAAAAGCTGTTTAAACACCAAAGATTTATTTTATTTCATATACAAATCTCAACCTTTTTAAATTAATTTCTATACAACTAATTTAAACAAAATTTAATTTTTGTAAAGTCATTCACAATCTCAGTATTTTGTAAATTTTTCTTGATAAAGTTTTCGAACTTATATACATTCTTTTATCTTTTTGATGAATAAGAGTAAGAATTTATTGACATTGTGAGTATAAACTGAACAATAATAAGCAATAATAAGCTAAGAAAATAACTGCTGTAAACTAAAGAGAGATATTTGAACTAATTTCCAATCGAGATGTTGATGTATAATAATTCATTGCAGAAACTGCAGCTTGCATCATGGAGAACCAAAATTTTCAATGTCGCGCCTGACTAATACTAATGCTATATCCCTCGAAAAAAACTATCGGGAACAATTGATGCAGAGAGAACAACGCATACTTTTATCACGTGCATTATTCCAGGTGTAATGGCAAGATTGGAAACTGCACCGCGATTTTTACACTAAGTATACATGAGTTACGCAACTACGGATATATGTTGTTGATACTGACGAATGGATATCGTTTAAAGGTTCTGCTGAAAATCTCAATCAACAAAGACGCATTAATCACGTACGATTTCACCGTAAGTAGAAATCACGTTTTCTGTGTAGCGTGTATCGATTCTAAAAAAGTCAGTAGCGTTTTCGAGTGAATATTATTTTGAAGAAATTACATTTTGAATATATAAAAAACGTATGCTAGATATTTTCAATCCAATCGATATATATTTTAATTTAGAATTAAATTAAAATTCAAATTTTCTGGATATTAAAATAATTACCAAGGTTACTAAGAATAAGTTAAATAAATATTATCTTATCAATAATAAAAAATGAACTAATTTAATTTCATAAAAAATTGTCAAAACCATCATAATTAAAAAGAATGGTTAAAAAAAAATTGTCAAACTTGTAATAATTAAAGAAAGTAATTTTTTTAAAGATTGTGAAATAAAAATGATAAAAATGATTTGATTTTTTGTTATGGAATATATTATTTTTACCGATATTATTTGATTAATCAATATATTTCTATTAAGTTAACAAAAAAAAAAAAAATAGTTTTTCCCTTTTTCTAAGAAACTTCATTTTTTAATGACACCTTTGAAGTAAAGAGAGAATATAGTAACAATTTTTAAAACAATAAACTTTCTTTAGATTATATCGAATTTTATTTGTGGAACGTTTTGTCGATTTTTTAAAATTTGATTCATATTGTTTTATATAAATATAAAAGCGATTACAAATTTGGAAACCATTGGATGATTCATTGGCATATTTATATCCTGTTTCGTGAGAACCAAGTTTATATGTTCTCGAAATTCGTTTCGATTGTTTGGATCCAAAACGCTACAGGCTCTTATCGTATATGATCTTATCTCTTGTTATCATTAATTGATATTTTCATTGTTGGTATCGCACGTTGATACTTTCCAGCACGATCATGCATTCGATCATAATATTACTGTCGACATTGGTGGCCTTCATCGCCGCAGAGAGCATTTTAATGACAGAGGTTTTTGTCATTCCCATCAGACCCGAGATTTTTGATTGGAATACAGATGGTAAAAGACATATATTTAATTTATTTTAATTTTTTTTAACAAAAAATATTTTACTGTTCCTGATAGCTATATGTATATCGAACCTCACTATTAATAAACATCTTAAGAAATGAAAGAAAAAAGCAAAGAAAATTATATTATATTCTATTCTCATATGTACAAAATTATTATCAAATTAAGATGAAAGATAAAATAATTAAAAAGATTTTTCCCGATTTTATTTCCTAGATTTTCTATATATCATATTTTATTACAACTCGGAGTACTATTTCTATAAAAAAATATTTTCATGAAATCAAATTTTTATAAAGTCATAAAAGACAATTATACAAATTTTATTAGATATTTACATTTAGATTCAATGCTAAGTAATTATTTTGAAACGAAGCTTATTTAAAATAAGGAATAAAGATAGCTATAATTATCCTACGTAGATATCCGTTAACCCACAATACGAAATTAAACTATGTCTTCGTACGTCATCCATAACACGACGCGAATAGCAATTACTTGTTGAACTGTTGTAAACATTCCGCTGGTCTTATAGTCAATATTGTCGCATATCACGGTACTTTCTAATTCGATGCCTCTAAACAATTTTCGAATGATACGAGAATTGTTAAAATTATCCTGCCTCATATATCTATACCTAATATTGTATTTGTTTTTTTCAGATTAGATGAGATTTTCTGTTAATAAATCTTTGGACATTTATAACTTTTTAAAAAAGCATTTTCGAGCATAAGTTTATATGAACTTTTTTCATTTACTCAACTTCTTTATCACTAGTTGCGTTCAGTAGAGAAAATTAATCAGTTAGCGTTTAATGATTTCTTGATTTCCACTGTATAAGTTTGGTCCCGACCTTTACATCATGTATAACTTTTTATTTTATTTTTCACCGTTTTTTTTATTAACATTAAAAACTGTATATCTCGTTAATTTAATTTAATTTTATTTTTTAGTCTTATTTTTTAAAATATAGACATTTAAATATAGACTTTATTATATATAGACATTTTTATTTTTAATGTTTCACTTTTCTCTTTTGCAATTTTTTAAAAAGTTTTATTAAAATATTTATATTCATCTTTTATTTCATAATTTTTCTATTATCTTCTAAATATATTTTATATATTTCTATGCATTTATTATTATGTATTTTTTCTGTATTTCTTATAAATAATTGTTCTGTTATTTTTTATCACGGATATTTACATGTGATTTTATTTCAGGACATTCCGATCAATTTTCGTATCAACCATCCTTGCTAAATGCTCCCGATCTCCCGTCATGGATACATTACACCTACAGCAAGAAGGATCATCACGGCTTTTTATATGGCGTCGCACCCAAAGATCAAAAGTACTTTCAGGTACATCACTGTATACACAATCATTGTATTATCAGTTTACAACTGACAATACTTAACTGAGATAATTTTAGCTGGAGATCGTGGGGTTGAATAAACATACTTACGAAACTCGTTACAAAGTGCTTGATATGAACGTACTTGAAAGAGAAAATCTGACAAAGTACGAAGTATACTTAAAAATCGACAATCTCAACGTTGAGGACATGTTCAATCAAAATCGTACTCAAAAGCTCCTCGATATATTCAGGTTAGTTGCGTAAATTTCTTATAATTTTCAATCTTGTAATTACAGCGTTTTTATCGATAATGTATGTACGTCAATCTATCATTTCCTTTCAAAACGTATAAACAGGGAAATTTTTCAATATAATATATGTAACAGGTTTCTCAGAAACTAAATTTAATTTAACTTCATAAAATAAAAAATCGAGAAAATTGATGATAATCATCTGCTTTAAAATTATGAAATTTATATAAATAGTGAAATCAGTTTTCTCAGACACTACATCGCTAATTAATGATAATTAGATAATAAATGGTATTGACAATAATCATATTGAAATTTAACTGCAGGAAAAAGCTATGGAAAGGCGCTGCGGACTTGTACGTCACTTTTTTGGCGTCTGCAATCGAGCTCGGAGCTCGTTTACCCCTGAAGCCCAGCGAAGGTGAAGGGTGAGTCATATTTCTAAATTGTCCTCTATCCAATTCAATTTAATCCTTATTGTTAGATCCGAGAAGGTGAAATTCGTTGTAAGACTTAGGATAGCTAAGATTCCAACTATGACTTTTGCTTATTTCGATTTATATAGATTGTTTCGAGCGTTCAACTGTCAAATACAAGCAAATAACATTCTCAAACAATGACTGTGTTAAAAGTAAAAAAATAGCAAAAGAAATTAAGAGCAAGAACCAAACGTTACATAAAGAATCTTAAAATAATTGCAAAGCTATTTTTTTGAACGTGATCAATCATAAGCTGTGTATATAAAACATATCATTAAAAAAATAATATACGTACATTTTATTTTTACATTATTATTATAAAAAATAACATAAGTGATGATTTCTTTAAATGAATTAATTAATTCTTTCTTGATTACACAATTAGTGTAAGTTAAAAATTATACATTGATACAAAATTTGATAAAAACATATTATGTGGTAAAGAAAATAAGAATTGAGATAAGAATAATGTCGTGTCACGACGAGACATTATACTTCTCTGATATCACTGATGTACTAATCACTTGATCAACCGCAAACAGAATGACGTGAATTCGACGATTGTTTTTGTATTTAAATATTGTTATTTTCTATATTGCGCTATCATTCATATGCCCTCGATAGGAAGATATGTAATACGTTTTCTTATCTGGATATGTTTAATCAAATTATAAATGTGGCCGACAAGTTTAAGAAAAAGTCATTAAATCATTAAGAATAGTGCAGTCATGCCTATTATTTTTCACTTTCTGATGTTTTATTCATAATTCTGTATAAGCATTCTATTATTTTAAAATATTTTCAATAATATGACAATTCAGATTCACTAAACTGAAGCGAATGATGGAATGAGTAACGTCGATCAAGATTTGTTTTGTTGTATGAGCTTTGTGTATATGATGCATATTAATAAATATTCTCGCGTTTCAATCACCTAACGTAACGAAGAGTATTGTACGAATCACTTTGAATCGCAATTAACGATTTTCATCGATTACATTATCGCGATTAGACGCTCTCGTGGATTCTTATCGTGACGTAATCTGTTAATTGATAAATATCGCTTTTCGCGTAAAGATGCGATCATTTCCACCATAGAATCCACGATTGAATGACGGCACCGTTACGCATTTCCCGGAATAAGCCTTCGATTACGCAGAACGAACGATGGACTTTCCATTGAATGTTCGTAATTGTTACAGTGCACAGTTCGTTATGACTCCCTTAAGATTCTGATTCTACGGATCAACGATCACAATTTATCGCAGTATTCTTACACGGTATTTCAGTAGGCACGTAAACGAGCGATAATGTGATTTATTTTTTTGCTCATGTCTATCATGCTCATTGTAAGAAAATTGCGTTTCTAAAATGAGTGAAGTGGATTTTCTATAATCGATGATTATGCCACACATTATTGATACAGATTGATATTTTTAATGACGACAAGATTCAGGATGATAAGCGAGAAAAATAAGGAATATTACGGGCGAAGTTGTAGCGGAAGTAATTTGCAAAAAACATAAACTCAAACTATATAATTATATAACGTTAATATTAATATTTTTAAATGCACGTATTTATAATTCAAAATTTGCAATCCTGTAGCTAGAATTGACATAATGCTTGTGGTGATAGTCTAAATATTCGGAATCAATATACAATTATAATTAACAAATTATATTTTTAGACTTTCCCCTCTAATTAATAATTCTTACAAATAAATGCTTTTTAATTACAATAATAAAAATTCTTTTTTTCCACGGAAAGAACAATTTGCTAAAGTATCTAGAAATTATTTTTTTAAAGATAAAAGAAGCGCTAAGAATATGCGCTCCTCGAAAAAAAAATTGTTGTGCCAAATTAAAAAATAAAACTCAAATATTATCTTTAATTATATGATAAAACCTAATTGTGGAATGTATTTTTATATTTTCATTGAAGGGGCTTTCTTCAATCCAAATGTGGTAGTAGCTTCAATTCTTCAAAAAATTATTGTATCACAAAATTGCTTTACTTCATTCAACTCAGTCTAAAAATTTACAGATCAGAAAATGATTTTTGTTGAACCATCAAAGTAATTATGTAAGACGCTCAAGCATTGAGCAATGCTGTATAAAGTTTTGATGTTCTGACAATTAGTTCGAACTTCCTGTGTAATTATTTTGATGGTCAGCAAAGTTATTTTCAGATCTAACTTTAGATATGTCAGCAAAATCATCATTTCTGTGTATTATATTTGATTGAATTAATAATATTATATATAGTGGCCTTGATATAATGCTTTGTGATAATAGTCCTCCAAGTTCCCGAATTAGTGTATGATTATAAAAATATTATATTTTTAAAATCTCCATAGATTCCTTCAATTAATAAAAATTCTTTGATTAATATTCTACCGATTAAATTGAATCGAGGATAAGATATTTCATTTTCGCTGGTTTATAAGAAATTGGATTGGATCGCAAAGAATTTAATTATGAAATCTCAGTAGAATCTTGGGATTCTACCCATATTTACGCTCATTCTTGTGGAGGAAAACGATCTCATGCATGCGGAATGATGAGACAAGTCATTTGCGGTGTGGCTGTTATTGAAGCGCGGCGTAGCGTAGGCTGGTTTCCTTCCGGTGCAACAATATGTGACATAAAAACAACGTATTTATACGCGGCGGCGTGTCGCATCAAAAGAAATTCAAACGTTATGAAACCATTGTTGCATCAACATAATACAGGATGTGACGTAGGATATCAGAGCGAAAAAGGAAAGAAATACCGCAATTTCCGATGTAGATTTATGTTTGGGTAAATACATTGAGGCAGGACAAGAAATAATAGTTTCGTAACGAGATATCTATTTATTGTGAAGCAGTTCAAAGTTATGCTTAAGCGTATTTTCCGGCAATGAGATTGGAAACAATGGTTTTTATCACAGAGAACAAGATTAATTAATAATATTGAATAAGTGTTTTGCTGTTTTAACGTCGGCAGATTATATATTCGTTGCTCTCGATTTTCTGATTCATCACATGTGATTCATTGCATGCGATTGAAGCAAAATCAAATTGTTCATTATTAAACGACATGAGTCAACTTTTTTTACAAATCAGCTATTCTTCGGAAAAGATATCCTTGCTTTGAAAGAGTTTCATGTTAAATATAAGAATAACGTACATGCATGACTTGTAGATATGTATAGCATGACTAAGATTACCCAGTGTTTTATTCATAGCAAGTTGCATAAAATAAGTCATTTGAGAATAACAAAAATTGCGAGAATTTCTCTTTTTCTATTTATCTATCCAGTCTCCTTCTTTGTGACATATACTTTGCTTTTTGCACAATGATTGACATAATCGTCCGGAAGCAAACTTTTGCTTCTCGCCTGCTGAAACTTTGCAGCGGGGTCGCATCTGTAACGCGACTGCGTTCTCTCGTTTAACTATAGCGTATCACGTTTGTCACCATTATGCCCGTGTCACACTACACGTAAAAAAATATTTTGTTGCTCCAGCTAGAATTATCACTGTTTTTCGTTTTCTAATAGAAAATTATGTACGCATAGAATTTATAACACAAATCTAAATTCTAACTCTATCTATATGATTAGATTGCAATCCAATATCGCAGTACTTGCTAGAAATTTATCTATAATAATTTATTTTAGCTAATTTTTCGTACTTAGGTGATTTTCATTATAACTGCAAGATCATATTTTTGAGTGTACGCATTGGAGACTTGAGGATTGCGAATTGAAAATTAGAATTCAGCTAATTACAACGAAATGGATTAAAATTAAAACTACCTGATTGGTCAAATTCTAATTCTTAATTCGCAATCTTCAATCTCCACTGCGTAGTGTGACACATTACGGTGCTATTATCAAAAAAACGTGACGAAACCGCAAAATAATAATGATCATAAAATTACAGATCGTTCCTATAAATTAATAGTTATTATTCTGATATTATTGCGCGTTCGACGAATTTGGATAATTGTGGAGTTACCTTTTATGTCTCGACGTAACACCTACGTATTTTTCACGTTAATACGTGAATCATCATGTATTGTCATCGCACTTTGTATTCAACGTCAAAGGCTTAAATAATGTACGATCAAGCAAAAGGTCGGAATTATTACATTCTAAATGAGACAAGTGGGGGCGATTAATCTCACAGCGAGATTTCTAATTCTAAAAGTAAGTTAAACTAAAATTAAAGTTAATTTACATTGAAAAAACAAACATAAGGCTTGGTTCCACCAATGTAAGATTAACTTTAATCTCGATTCAATTTACTCTTTATCTTTTTCTAATTATAAAAGTCCGAATTCTTAGAATTAGAAAAAAATAAAAATAAGTTAAGTACTGATTGATACCGTAAAGACATCAGAAATACACTTCGCGATAATTCAATTAAATAGACAGAAGAAATAAAACGAACATCTGAATTTTTCAGGGAAGGATTCTTGTCCAACCTCTTTAAGTTCTTTATTTTCAAGATTTCTCAAAAGTTATTCGACACTGAGAGTCATAACAACGCAATGGAGCGAAACTTCGAAATCGCGCCCACGATCGCAAGACGAACGAGCGAGAGAGAGAGAGAGAGAGAGAGAGAGAGAGAGAGAGAGAGAGAGAGAGAGAGAGAGAGAGCGCGCGGCAATTAATCTTTCTCGCGACTAAAATAATTCGATTACGCCGACCGATCGTACGTACTGTATATTGTCTAGTTGTCACTTTCAGACTTATTGCGTCGTACACGAAGTACGATGACACCAACAGTTTGCTAACGGCAATTATTCCCAACGTAAATGTGATGTCGTCACGCTCTCGGAACACTTAACTGACTGACTAGCGGGGGTTTGTTTCCACGGATGATAAGGCTGCGCCTTAGGAGCTACTTCGACCTTAGATACGTATCAGTGTACCGTATCACTGCGTATCAGTGAAAGCCGAGAGTTCGCGAATCGCGAAATCGTTGGAGTTTGATTGGGCGCCATAACATTGGATCTTACGGATATTGGGTTTTGTCTAATCAACTCTGGATTATCAGCGTGAATTCTCGAGTAGCATAACATATTCATCGCAAATGAAATTATGATCCGAATATTAGTTGGAGATGTAATTTCAAAAGTTAAAAAGATAATTAAAATTTTTATATAAAATACGATATGTTTCTTTTCAATTCGCAGATATGAAAAAAAAAAAAACTTTTTTCGAAGCAGGAAAGAAGCTGGGCAAATAAAAGTTAATTTTACGTTTCTTGTATAGATATACTGACCGGTCATGCTGAACTAATATCACATATATTACTTGAAGCATACCATAATGATTAGTCTCGAAGGTTATTTGCTCGATGGACAGTATTGTAAAAGATATTGAATTTATAAATACGCGAGCTATGTAGGTTGTAAGTTGTCATTTGCACGTAAGGAAACTCAATATCGTGAAGTGAATAACTGTATAATAATTATATAATTCTGGGTTAAATAGAAATTTGAAATCAATAAAATATATTAAATGGAATTACAATTAAAATTCAGCAACGCGTAATAATTGTTAAAAATGCGAGAGGTTAAAAATGTTACATATATTTACGTAAAATTACATATATTTTTAACAAAATGAAAAAATTATAAACACATTAAAGATTTTTTTATATTATATTTGAAAGTAATACAATAAGTTTAGCGACGATTTAAGTTTGGCGAATTTGGATTAAAAATTATTTCATTAAGAAATAGATGTTTTTAAAAAATAATTAAGATAAGACAATTTTCATTTAAATTACAAAATTGTATTATTATAGATATAAATATTGGCCTTATTGAATTGTTTCATATATATGCATATATACAACATTTATTTTTACGGAAAGTATATATTTCCAATTTTAGTCATTTCATTTTTATAGAGCTACACTCTCAAATCCTTGCAAAACATAAATCATCATTACATTAAAAAAAAATGTCAAAATAGTTAGTAAAAATCACTTTTCAATTAATAATGATTTATTTTTATGTTATTTTGACATTTCTGTGACTTGCTGTTCTGCTTGGGAAGTGTCATTAAGATATAATCTGTGCAAACAGAATTATAATTCAAGTGCGACTGATGAAAAATTATTGTTCTCTAAAGAATTAAAGTTAGCAGTACTGGGATTACAGAGATCTTGTTTGAAATATAAAATGTTCGCGTTAAAAAGAAAGGCAATTAATAATAACCTTTCAAATGCAATAACGACATTGACCTATATCGAGAGTACAGTGTCAACAATTTACTAGACAATCATTTTCTGCGTTTATTGTTAATGCACGCTCGTATGGGCAAAAGTCCCACGCGCGCTACTTAAAAGAATCCTTGACGGGAATGACGCAAATACGTGTGGCATGGATATCGCGATATGATCCGCACGATAGAATACAGGTTTTCTTCGTAATATTGCGAGTGATGACTCTTTGACTTCGATGAATCTTTCTTGATCCTCAGCATACATCGATGCATTTTATCATTTTATCTCATTGCAAATGAGATATTATACTTCTCTGATATATTTTTCTCTTTGTCATAAAGAAATATCCTTTTATTCAGAGTTGTCGTGAGACTGGGTAGTACCGTACCATTCTCGCAGGAATTGAACGAATTGCAAGAGGAAGTCAAACCGTTATGGAAAATGCCGTCATGCCCCAGAGACTTCAAGAGGACCAGCGTAGAGATACTCTTCCGAGAGGCTGAATTCAGATTAGATTGGTGTTCCTTCAGATTAGTAAGTTATAATCGATGCTATGTACGAAACTTCATGTTGTGATTAATATTGCATGTTCGAGAGGAATCTCTTTCTTATATATTCGACGTGAATATTTATTGCCTACTTTTCTGTTTGTAACGTTCACTCACTTCACTATTTATCTTCCACAACATTAATTTATATTCATATGCAAACATAATTGCGTATGAATTATACTAATATGTCAACAACTATTACGTTAATACAAGTCTCCAATATGTTTATTTCATTAGCCTAACCTACGAATTTATACTTTGAGATCACTGCTTGAATGAACGTAATCATTTCCTATAATATTATAGTATTGTTGAATAAAATACGGTTTATCAATTGCTCCATCATGTCGCAATTTTAACAAAAATAACATTAAAGAGATAAAAAATAATGATTTGAGAGTCTTTATAATATTGTAATATCGGCAGTAATTTTTTTTAATTTTGTTAAAGCTATGCGAAAATATCAATCTTTAATTTTAAAATGCACTTTGTTTCATTTCGATATGATTTTTCATTTTCGAGAATAGCAATTTGAAAATACTATATTGTGCATTTTGTTAATTTCATTGCTTTTTTATTTAATATAATCCGATTATGTAAGAACATATTATGTAAGCAAAAGCACTTGCTTTTCACGTAATGCAGTATTAAGATGAAATAAAATACCTTTTTTATATATTATACAGGAAAAGAGCTATTTTCAAATTGCTCTTTTCCTATACATAATATATGAAAATGGCATTTTATTCTAAATTTAGACAAAAATTTGCTACATTATGAAAACCTTCAAAATAATTATTTTCGCATTTTTGACGTTATTTTTTCCAAAATTATAACACGATAACCAAATTTAAAAAACAGATTCGTGTTCACAGCAGGCAAAAATACAAGCCAAACAGGTAAAATAATTCAATACAATATTTTATTGCAGTATAATCTTTTGGTGGATTCCAAACACGTCATTGTATATTTTACTCAACCATGTCGTCATCATATCTCTTGCGTATTATCAGTCATTCTTAATTTATATTTACGGTTATTTCCGCCTCATCTCTCAATCGATTAATTTCCATATTCAATTTTACGTAAAATGTCGCGCATATCACGTACTACCTTTTTATGATATCTCATTATTCAATGCTGTCCTCGTCGTAATAAAAATAGTTGTAATAAAAAGACAATTTTTACAGCTAGAGGAAGATCAACAGAGTCTGCAGCACGAGAGTGCCCGAAGGGGCCCCAGCGCGAATGTCGTGGATCTGCCCTCTTCCGGCATTTCCGAGCACACAGAATGGCGGTGGGCCCGTTCAACGAAAGCTAGCATACCCACTAGAAGTTATTTCAAGGAAATTGTTACCACGATTTTCATACCAGTTGTACTGCTTCTCGTACTGGGCGCCTTGCTTAGCACCGCTTTCTGTCTACATCACGAGAAAATGTAAGCACTTTGATATATCTCATTGGAAAAAAAAACCAGTCAAAGCTGCTTTAAAATAATGATCATTTGCATTCCAGAAAAGTTATTTTTATCAACTTGATTTCCATATTTCTACCTTGAACTAGAATATTTATTTTATATTAATATGTACTTCTTTTTTTTTATTTATCTCTACTTCCTTTTTTGTTTACTTATATCTATTTTTTATATCTCTTTATAGATATTAGTCGATTTTTTTTTATGTATTGACGACACGCTTAAGAAATACTCGCGATACGAGATTCTGTGCTGTGACTATAAGAATGTACGAGAGAAAATACGCAAGTCTTGTGAGTTAACTAAACAAAATTATTGTGAATTGTTTTAGGGAGATCAACAGAAGTAAAAATAATATATTAATGAGAACGGCATAAAATATCAACAAATAAGTCTGTAAATAGTAATAAATTTTAACAAAGGAAAACATATACACTATATAATGTATTAATAAATTTTCGAATAAATTCAAAAGTAGAATAAATCTTAAAGTGATGTACTAATACTATAATAAATTTTACAATACATTAAAAACAAGATGTCATATTGTACATTTTTGCTAATACATAAATATCGAAATAAAGTGAAATGTAGAAAATATACAGGGTGTTTCTTAAAAAGAGGACACTAATTATATAACATTAATCTCTAAAATTGAGTCGAAATTTCCCGAGTCTTTTTTTGTATAGTGCTGTATGAAGCAGTATTATTATCTAGAGTAAAGCTAATTCACATGGGCGCCGTCTTTTAAACGAACGCACGTTCGTATGAGCCGCGTGCGTAAACGAAAAATATATCTTTTTGTTTACAAATTATTTAAGAAATCTTTCTTTGTAAATTCATAAGACAGAATTCATTTCTTCTGCTTATTCAAACCTTCAAATGTTGATAATGAAAAAGTTTTTATTATTTTTTGTTTTATATTTTTTTAATACTATATGTCTACATTTTATGTAGAACTTTTTAAGAAATAGATTTTTTAAGTAATAATCAGTTATCTGTAATAAATAGTTATTTGGAGAACTTTTTATGAGAAAATTAATTAAAAAGTATGAATAAGAAAAAGATAATATTTCTATTCTAAAAGGAAACTTACAGAGTTTTGAAAGATTTTTTTAAATACTTTATAAGCAAAAAGATTGTATTTTTCATGTAATTTATAATTGCGTTTTGACGAGAGTTCTCGTATCCCTTGTTGAAATTTTTCTGAAAGAAAATGCTTCTGACAGAAAGAATATGATTTTTAACGCAAAATAAATTTTTCGCATTATTATGATACGTGAGAATATTATGCGATAGCGGCGAAGTCAGCGGTATAGCGACGCGCTCAAACACATTACTAGGCGCGCGGACGTGCGTCTGTTTAAAAGACGGCGCCCATTGGATTAGCTTTACTCGATAATAACTGCTTCATACAACACTGTACAAAAAAAATGGCTCGAGAAATTTCGACTTAATTTTAGATCAGGATTAGCGCTATATAATTAGGGTCCGCTTTTTAAGAAACACCCTGTATATCACATTGACAAAGAAGAAAAAGCTGTCAAAAAACACACGTGTCACAAAATGGCATTCACGAAAGACCAAGAGAATGTGCAAGAAATTCACGCGAATGAATTTAATGCTGGCTTCAGTGCATGTGAACGGAAGTACTATCCAATTTACGATATATGTAATTACGCTAGTAATTGTATTGAATGAAGAGCAAATAGCTATTATTAAAAACACAGTAGTTATACAAAATAACTGACCATTATCAAAGTATATTTCAATAACAGATTCAAAGCTGGTTTTTGTTGAGCAAAAACCTCCTCTTTGGCGAGAGACTTAATTAGAAATATATGTTAATTATTAGAATATTTAATATTAAAAGCTACCAATAATTTTATAGAATAAAGAACCGGATATTTTGTCGTATATCACGTTCCAGTTTCTTTTTCTTGCAACCCGAAGCAATAAAAGCAAACGTTCAGGGTCGGTTAATTTGCGACTGATGAATCGCAAAGAGGCGGCACTATCTTTCGAGAGGCATGCAGTAAAAAGTATTAAAATTACATAGTCATCGGAATAATGTAATTTACATACGTGACACAAACACCAATTGCAGGCAAAATATAGGATCAGGATTCTTAGATGTGCGATATAATCGACCTAATTATGATCTTTTATATAGACTTTATGTGCATCACTATGCTTACATACATACTATTTAGCACGTATTTAAAACAAAATATTTCAACTCGTTAAACATCAAATTTATTTAGGCCGAACCATTAATGATTAAACTGATAATGCACAGAACAATTTATCATGTCATTCATAATTTTTAATACAAAGTATTTACAAAAATTTACATACATAAGCCTAGTACACATGATTGAATTATTTATATCTTGCGCATTTTCCTTCTTTGAAATACTAAAAGCATTTAGCTAAATGATAATCTTTATTCTTTCCTTTTTTTAACATATACAACTATATAAATACATTATAAAGATGTTAAAGTATATATGCAAGAATATATATATATATTGTCACTTAATAATTTTTGTATACTTGTAAAAGTATGCGATGAAAATTAAGACACGAATCATCGTGTGTAGTAAAAAACCAGAAAATCATCGTGTCTACAAAAGATTAATTTCCAGTCATCATCATCAATCTTTTCAATTTTTCATGAACTATCGCACACGCGCAATACAACTATTTGCTTTTTAAACCATTTAGAGTAAATTTCATTCTGAAACATCATTTTTCAAGATTGGCTCAATTTTAACTCTTTACAATTAGACTCTATTCTAAAGAACTTAGAAAATATTATATATTATATATTCTGTCGGTAGATTCTAATATTCCCGAGAGAACAATGATGTCTTTTAATGACTTCCGGCAATGTTTAATTAGTTGGCTGTCAATAACATCGGTAATGTTCAACGCTGATGTCCACAGGAAACGGAAAAGAGAAAGAGAAAAGGAAATAAGAAAAAAAAGCACGTGAGAGAAATGAAAAGAACACGAATGAATCGAGAAAAGAAGAAAAGAAAACGCAAATGGAATAATAACAAGAAAGAGAGAATAATAAAAAAATGATAATAAAAAGAAAGAAAAAAATTGATTGATCAATATGATATTCGTATGTTTTAAATCTAATTAATTCTCAATATTCTCGGCAACATTATTTAATAACACCGATATTGTACTGATGACACATCGTATTTCGCTTAGAATTTAATGGAATTATCAATATAAATTTTGAATCTATCACAATTTATTAGTTACACTTTCCAGGTAGAAAAGTTCAGAAATAAATTTTAGAGCTGCTCTTTAAATTGATGCCTTCTATCATTAGAATTAATTACACAAAATGTTGAATATAACAGAACAATAAGAATTAAGTACGGTAATTCTTGTGCAAATCAATCAACGGTTAAAAAACTTTATAATAAATAATCCACTTACATATTTCGGCTCACTTTTGAGTCATCCTCAGAGACAATATGAAGTAATTACAAAAAATTTTTTTACAAAGTAATTTATTTCAGTGAGCCTTCACTATTAACGGAAATTATAATAATATAAAAATAAACTCTAATAACAATCTAAAATGTATTAAAATTATTAAAAGGTAAATTTGTTGGGGGGAGTAAAAACGATTTATTGTATATATGTAAAATAATAGAAGGTAGCTCACTAAAACAAAGATTCATATCGCAACACTTAAATTCTATCGATTTAGTCAAAAAACAGTCTTTGACCATTCAACGAATTTGATTGATTCCTATTGCCCTGTTATATCCAATTTTCTATCATTAAGAAGTCTTTAAGAAGTAATTTATATTTAGAATTAATTATACTTTCCAAAGCAGACAATTTATGTTTAGAAAATTTAATCGTTTTTATAGTGTATAAAAATATAAATAGATGTTATAAATATACGTTTATTAAATTGTCAACGTTGCAACATTCTTATAATGTTTATTAAATAGTTAAAAACATAAAATTTCAAACATTTATTTTTTCACTTTATACACAATTTTTAATGTATATTAAACATTTTTTGAACGTAGTTATATTAGCTTGAGATATATATTACACGTTTTTCTTTTATTATATGTCTAAACAGAACATCCTGTATAGAGAATATATCGACATATTCTTTTCTTACAATATTTATGTCTAGTCATGATGATGACAATGCAAAATCATGTGTCACCTGGTCTCTCTCTCTCTCTCTCTCTCTCTCTCTCTCTCTCTCTCTCTCTTTCGTTAGACGTTCACGTTTGTCATACATGCGAATATTGTTAATATTTGGTTTTGGTTATCAAACTGTTGGCTTTCTCAATCACATATAATATATACTTGCCACTAATGTGCAACCATGTGCAACGTACGTACCTAGATGCGTGCGTACGTACGTACGTGCATGCATGACGAACGGGTAAGTGACCGCGAGTGATCGCAGGTTTACGATCAACAGTCAGATGGTGTATGACGTGATCGAGATCGGAGTGACGCAATAGAATCGCTTATCGGTGTTTACACGGAAATAGATTGATGTGTCTGCGATCAACTCGATTTCCGCCGATCGATGTGATCATGCAATGCGTGCTAATTTTATATTCTGATCGATGTAAACACCAGCTGGGTTTTGTATTCTTGAATTGGCGTCTAGTCGCGCGTCTACTAAAATTTCCCACTATCATAGCTCTTATCCATAATTATAATGCATCGAGCTCTCATGTAGCAATTGATGTCATCACTGCTTAAATAATATTACGTATACCTCAAATTTACATATACTAATTATGTAAGATGAAAAAAATTTTATTGAACACGTGGACTCAAGTGATCAACAAAATCTTTTTAAATTTCTTTTAATTTAAAAAATATCTTTTAATTTAAAAAAAATTAAAAATTTTTTAATAATGTAGAGGAAAGAGGGATAAGATGACGAAGAGGATAAG